GCGCGAGCTATAGCAGCGTCGCCAGGCCTGCGTAGTACACTTGGCCTCCGGTGCCAACACAGCTAATATCTTTCCGAAGGCGCTTGCGCCTAAAGATCATCAGCGGCACTGGGTACAGCTTGGACTCATTCTTGTAGCACCTCATTTGCTAGGTATAACTCTTTATACATAATCATTACTAGCCTGGTGGCTTTCTCGCAGTGGCTGGACTAGCAGTGCTGCCCTGGTCTTGTTCTTGCTTTGTTTGTACTCTGTTGACTTGTCTTTAGACCCCTGCCTTAGAGGTTGGACTGGTAGTGCCAACGTGAGCTGTTTGTCTCTCACCAGGCTCTGCCCCTATCTAGTCTAGGGGGTGTGTCAAACATATTTGTGTATGTTTAGTAGACTACATAGGGTCTTGCCATAGAGAGTACAACCCACTAGCTATATACCCCTGTAGACTCTCATTCTAGTCAAAACTTCTAACTATGAGAGTACTCTCTAGGAACTGAACCTAGCTAGGCTACGGTAAACGTATATATTCCTAACGTTTATATGAACGTCAACAATTACATCTACATCCTTGTTTAATATACTGTTCCTACAAGGGCCAATAAGGGCATATTCAGGGCTCCTGCTAGTTTTTTGGGCAGTCTGAAAATCAGACGGGTTCTTAGAGCTTCGTCTGACCGTCAGACGGATTTTTTTTGCTTGTCTTACGATTCAGACGAAATGCAAGCACATGTCTGAGAATTCAGACGTTTTTGCATCCTGATTGTATCACAGGGTCATCAATACTACCAACATAGAACATTACGTCAAAAGTCAGACTACTGCAGCTCCTACCATACAATGAATAATCATCAGGTACTACCATATCAGGAATATTCAACAGCCTATTGCAGAGGTGAGCTCAACTAAGCTCACAAACTACTCCAAAGAGCACTGCTTTTGCTGCTACTCCAGCTAATGCCGCTACTGCTGCTGCTAGTGCTGCCTGCTACTGCTGCTGAGGCTGCCTGCTACTGCTGCTGAGGCTGCCTGCTACTGCTGCTGAGGCTGCTTGCTACTGCTGTTGAGGCTGCTTGCTACTCATGGTGATGCCTTTAGTCAGAGTCGGTGTCGCTGTCCACGGGGGCCTCCTCTTCCTCAGAGTCAGATTCAATGGCAATCATCTTCCCCTTGCCCTTCCTCCTCCACACAGGGCCAGCTGCAGCATCCTCCCCAAACACACGTGCTGCTTCCGCAGCAGCCAATGCCTCTGCCTCTCTAGCTGCTGTTGCTGCTGCCTTCACTGCTGCCTTTGCCCCTTTTACTGCATCGGACATCTTCGGCTTCTTCGTCGGCCTCGAGCACTGTGCCATCACAACTTCTTTGGCAGGGCGCCGCTTCTTGACTCCCCCACGCCACATGGTTACCAGTTCGTCCCACTCCATCTCGTACTCCAGCAGCGAGATGGTCATTAAGTCGCTCAGGCGCGCGTCGCAGAGGTTCCCGCGAAGCCAGCTCTTAATAACATTCTGTCGGCTGAAGCCGCGCTCGCACTCCACCGTACTCAGAGGCAGCACAGCGAGAGCAATCCACACAAGGACAATGTTGGGGTAGGCCATCTTCCAGTCGTCGCTTGAGAGCATGTGCTTTAGGGCAGCGTGGAAGTCGAGGTCGTCATGGTGCGTTGACATGATCGTGGTGAAGCTGGTGAGTTCCTTCCTTGCCTTGCCCCAATGGACGCCTGAGGGTGGGGGAGGGGTCGGCGAAAGGGTGGGTAAACAGAAGTCAGGAATGGGCAACAATGGAAAGCATGGTTATACACGCGAGAGAGCAGCCACTTATAGACGCGATGACGAGGGAGCGGCCTTACCGGGCTGGGTGTCAGGGGCTGTGGGGTCGCGCTTCCACAGGTTGCGCAGAGACAACAGCCACTCCATGAACTTACACTCGCGCCTTGACGCGGTTCGAGGATACAAACTCTGCTTGTAGAGGCGAGTGCCATTGAGGGAGGACAAGTCGTGGAATCGGCCGCGCAGATGGCCGATCATCGCCAACACTATAGCACTTGCCAGCTTCTGGAGTGACTCCATGTCCCCTCCGCTTTGTTGGCCTTCGATCGGTCGCTCATGAAGCTAGTACGTGTGGATGAGAGGAGTGTCGTTTGCATCTGTGCCCGAGATAGTAACGTCCTTGCCGCCAGCATGAAGTTGCAGAAACTCGAAGAAGTCGCCCGAGGCCGGGCCGAACTGCGAGTCGTAGGTGACGTACCGGCTGCGCAGGATGAGGATGGTGTTGTCCACCATCCTAAGAACTTGCGTCACGTCGACCTGGGGGAGGGGTGCAAACAAAGAGAAAGCAAACATTATAAAGTATTCAGGCATGTAAACAGAAATCATGCTAAGAAGGACGCACCTGTCGACGCTGGAACTTCAGATTCAACGCGTTGAGCTCCGCGAGGAAGTCAGCCAGGAAGTACAGAAGGAAGTGGAACTTCAGGCTAATGACAACAACATACATCTGACTATCATACTCCCGCAGCAAGAGGATAGCAGCTGCGAAGACCTCGACCAGCCACTGAATGGCCTCACCCCGAGAAAGCCAGCGGATCTGATGGATCCCCTGCATCTCGAGGTTGGTCTCGGTCACCACCTCCTGCAGCTGCTTGAAGCGATTGTGGACGACGATCGAACGGCCGAGGATATCCGCCAAGGAGCGGACCACCTTGTCGACCACAGCTAGGTCGGGAAAGTCCGCTGCCGCGTCCTTAGCGGCTAGGGCCTCCCTGCATGCATGGCCACGGAGGAATGATTAGCAAAGCGCGGAGAAACAGCATGATAAAAGACGGGTGGAGTGCGAATGGCTACCTATGAGCGATGCAGTGGCATGATACTAGATGCGGAATCCGAGTGCGAAGACGGGTGACAAGGCCCAACTGCTCTCCCATCATCACGCTGGCGCCGTCGGTGCTGATTCCGCAGATCTTATTGAGGTCGACCCCACATGACTCCAGGTGAGTCAGAAGCATGGCTTGCAGGGAGGCGGCGTCGCACTTCTCCACCGTGAGGTGCGCGAAGAACTCCGTGGCGACCTCCGTACCACGCAGGAAGGTAAGGTAAAAGATCATGTGCTTCCCTCGGCGCCGGTCCGTAATTTCGTCGAGCTGGATTCCGAGAAAGGGGCTCGCCTTGATGTGGACCATCTGCTTCACCCGCAGGTAAGCCACCAGGTTCTCGACGAGCTGGATGAAGCCATACCTGCCATTTGGGTAACACCGGAGGCCATAGGGGAGGAGTAACGCAAATAGAGACAGTAAGTTAAAACAAATATCATAACCGGCAAATGAGGAACTCGGATGAGGAGGGCTTCGCCTTAAAAACGTGGGACACTTACTCGCTCTGGTAGGTTCCTCGTTCCTTCAAGGGCAGATCAGGTGTCCCCTGTTCTGCCATGAACTGGACAAGGGAAACGAACAGAACGATAGGTGCATCCGACTTGCAAACAAAAAGCACAATGGCCATGAGCCGCTAGAGTCGTCGAGCCTCATTGTCACCGTTCTCGAAGTCGACGATCGACTTCTGCTTCTTCATCTTTGCCACGGCAGCCTCATGCTTCAGACTGTGATGATGCTTACGCATTGTTTGCTTCTGAATGTCGATGCCGCCCTCTCCGTTGCGGCCGTATTGATAGTCGGGGTCGTCGCCAAACGCCATGCAGACGCTGCACTTCATGCAGGGCCGACCCTCCTTCGTCTCGGAAATCACCAACCATGGAAAGTGGCGTAACCACAGCTCCCTCGCTTTGAGTTGGAGCTCCTCCACCGTCAGGAAGAATGGCCCGTCGTCGTCGGACGGCAGGGAGCTGGGACCAATATCGCCGCTGCTGTTGCCGAGCTGGATAGGATTAGCCGCAGTGGAGGCGCCGGCATGCCGACCGAAGCTGAGTTTGCGCTGGATGTACTTCGCCTTGTCAGGCTTGCGGGTGGGCAAGACGGGCCCTCCAAAGACGCGTGGCGGAAGGACGGCAGAAACTGTTTGCCTTTTAGGTGATGACGGACGGGAAGGCCTAGTAGCAGAGTCGAGCTCGGAGCCTTCAGCACCAAAGATGATCCATGGCTCCGTGTCCAACGGAGGCAGTGGGCTCAGAGGAGCCACTGTAGGGGGAGGACTAAGCACGGGCGAGCGGACGGCAGGAGACAGGCTACGCGATCGTGCACGCGCTGCGGGAGGCGGACTAGCGGCGGGAGAGCGAGCCGAGGGTGGAGAACTCAACGCATGCTTGTTACTCGTACTAGGACTAGCCTCTCGACGACTAGTCGTATGTCGAGTAGCGGAAGGAGGCGGTGCGGGTTTGACAGGCAGAGTAGGCTCGACGGGCATACGCCTCTGATGCGGCTCAGTGCTAAGGGGAGGCGGCGCGGGTCGGGACCGAAGCAGGTCTAGCCCCGTAACCGTCGATGGTGCGGCATCTTTAGGAGGGTTAGCATTAACCTCCTCTAAGGCCATAAGATGAGACACACGATATCAGCAGGAACTAGGTGGGAGAGTCAGCCAAGAATGAAGCACTAGGACGAGGGGAGGACGAGGACACTAGAGAGAGCACTCATGGCTGCAGGGAGTGGTTCTCTGAGACGTGGTGGTCTGAGGTTGGGGGCTTCTGTGGGCTGATTGTACACCATGGCGGCTCGAAGAAGAGCGGCTTGGGGTTGCAGATTCAATACGAAACCCTCGTCGTGATGGCACGACGAGGGTGGCTTGCGGTTTCATCGGGAAATGCGCTGGCACATTGCTAACCAGCGCTGCTTGCCTGGTACCAGGCTGGCAGCGACGGTGCCCATAACAAGACAGTGGCGTGGCAGCAGCTTGCGTCAGCAAGCTGTAAGTTTATGTGCGCTGGACTATTTTGCTGCCGCGCTCGGGGTAGAATTGAATGCGCATGCTGCGGTGCACATGGGACTGGGTGGCAGGCAGTGGCCCATTGGGCATGTGGACTAGTGGCCCTGCTGCTAGAAGGGCGGATTTGTCGGTATCAGACGGAAAAAAACGGCCGGTCTGATAAATCAGATGAATGTGTACACCTAGTCTGATGTTTCAGACGAATTCTTATAACTTGTCTGAACGATCAGACGAATATATTTGGCTCATAAAAAAAGCAGATGAAACATAAAAACCCAGTCTGAATTTCAGACCATCAGACCGATTTGGTCTGATAACGGGAGCCCTGGGCGTATTCCTATAGACATGCCGTAGGTAGATCCAGCGAAGTTGGATCCAATTTTGTGCATTACCGGACTGAATCACATAGAATTGCAGATTTCACCACTTGCACGGCACTGTACCGCACAAATTGGATCCAACTTTGGTGGATCCGACTTCGTACGAATACGCCCTAAGTCTGACTTGAACTCTATTGAGCTGAGAAAAGCCCTAGGATCTTTTCAGAGACTAAGTCCCACTTGTACAGAATGCTTGAGTAGTGGAGCGGAAATGTTGAGTAGTTGAACCCTTGCTAGTATGTGAGAGCAAGTGATTGATTAATAGAAACAAGCATACAGCAATATATAGAAAGGAAGAAATGAAGCAGTTGTAGAATACAGTTGAAGGAACAGTTATCGAGTCGCACAGCGACTCGATTGTCGGTTCGGTTACCACCCTTGCAGTCGCAACGGTCAATCGCAACCTCCGGTTGCGACCCTTCGAGTCCCTTCGCCCTTTCGTATTCTTTCGTCCAACCTCCTCGTGTAACCTCCATTGACTCGCGTACCCGATACGACTTTCCTCGAGTGTAGTGTTTATCAGAATTAGAATTGAATGTTGGTAAAGTGAGAGTATACACAAATATACCTAAGTGTTGTACCCTCTAAGAGGTAACCCTATACAGTCTATACAAACATGACAAATACACATGTTTGACACACCCCCTAGACTGCATAGGGGAATACCCTAAACAAGCAGCTCAGGGCGGCACTACTAGTCCAACCTCTGAGACAAGGGTCTGAGAGACCAGTCAGAAGGAGTACAGACAAGGCAAGAACAAGACCAGGGCGGCACTACTATTCCAGCCACTGGGAGAGGACACAAGTCCAGTCTGAGTATACATATAAAGGACAGTACAAGTCAAGGTCCTAGCAAGTGAGAGGCGACAGGAACTAGACCAAGCTGTACACAGTGCCGCTGATGATCTTTAGGCGCAAGCGCCTTCGTAAAGATATCAGCTGTGTTGCCACCTGAGGCCAAGTGTACTACGCGAGCCTGACGTCGCTGCTGTAGCTCACGCAGGAGGAAGTACCGCAGCTGAATGTGCTTCGCTCTGCCCTCGAGTCGAGGCTCCTGACACAGGAGGATCATGGCTCTGTTGTCAGCGAACAGGACTGGGGCAGAGCTAGGCCGCTCACCTAAGTCAGTGAGCAAGAAGGTCAGCCAGCGGAGCTCCTGTGCCGCCATGGCACCAGCGTAGATCTCAGCCTCACAGCTGGACTGCGCAACAGACGAGGAGCGGGTAGCTCTCCACGAGACGGCACCTGAACCAAGGCTGAAGCAGTAGCCCTGGGTGGACCTGAGTGTCTCAGCGTCGTCTGCCCACGAAGCGTCTGTGTGTCCAGTAAGGACCACTGACCTGCGTCCTCCAAGCACTAACCCCATGCCCGATGTACTAGCAAGATAACGCAGAACCCTCTTAGCGGCAGACCAGTGCTGCGGTCGGTGTCTGCCTGTGGCCACAAAGCGCGCCAGGATGCTGAGAGGGTATGCGAGATCTGGGCGAGTGCAAGTCATCAGGTACATGAGGCAACCCACCAGCTCTGCGTAGGGGCCGCTGGGCTCTACCAACTCCTCAGGTACTGGAGCGGAGAGTCTGTGGTCTACAGGCAGAGGGGTGGGCTGTGCAGAGGAGAACTGAAGGCTGAACCTCTGAAGGACCTGGCGCACCAAGTGTGACTGAGTCAGGGTGATGGTGCGCGCAGCTCTGTCCCTGGAGATCTGCAAGCCAAGGTAACGGCGCAGTTCTCCAAGGTCAGTGCAGGTGTGTCTCTTCAGCAGCTCTGCCTTCACGGAGGCCAGTGCGTCCCTGTCTGCTATGGCAAAGACCAGGTCGTCGACGTAAACAAGGATGTAGAACAGAGTCTGGCCAGCACGAACGAAGAGTGAAGGGTCTGCGGAAGACGGAAAGAACTGCAGGTCAGCAAGGGTAGCACGGAGAGTGTCGTGCCACTCACGGGGAGCCGAGCGCAGGCCGTAGACGGGGCGCCGCAGGAGCCACTGGGTCCCAGGAGGGAAGGTGCCAGTAAAGCCCGGAGGGCGACGCAGGTAGACCTGCTCGTGTAGGCTGCCCTGAAGGAAGGCAGTGGAGAAATCGAGGGAGTGAAGCTCGTAGTCACGCTGAGCAGCTAGGTGTAACAGAACCCGAAGAGTAGTCATCTTCGGGGTCGGAGCGAAAGTCTGGAAGAAGTCCACCCCCTCGCGCTGACTGAAGCCTCTAGCCACATAGCACGCCTTGAAGACAGGCGGCTCTCCAGGAGGGCGCTTCACCTTGAAGAGCCAGCGGCCATCGACTACGTTCACCCCAGGTGGGGGAACTGCGTCGACGAAGGTGCCGGTGGATCTCCAAGATGCCATCTCCTGCTCCATGGCAGCTATCCACTGCGAGGCCCAGGGTCCCGAAGTCGCCTCAGCGTAAGTGCGAGGGGTCGGGATGTCGAAAGCGTCTGGGTCACCCTCAGGGACTAGCAGCATGGAACAGAGATGGGGAGCAGCCTCGGACAGGAAAGCAAGCTCGAACTGGCGGTCCTCCAGGACGTCACTGCCAAGGGCAGGAGCACCCCTGACAGACGGAGGACAGGCAGGGTCAGAGACCAGAGCGGAGGCGTAGTCAAGGCGGCGGGTAGAGGCGAAGTCAGCGACAGCAGCGACAAGAGCGTCAAGGCACGAGACCGGAACAGACGGGTCGGTAACGAGAGAGGCAAGGACCCGAGGAACGAGAGGACGAGCGGCACGAAGGTAGTCGGACAGCGGGGGGGGCGCAACAACAAGGGAGGACGGAGGAGGCAACGGGAGAAGGGGAGGACGAGACGCGTGGGAACGAAGCAACATAGGGTGGGAGCGCAAGACAGGTGAGGCAGGACGAGCACGGGAGGGGCGGTGAGACCAGATGTGCGACGGAGGAGTCGGGTCAGGAGACAGGGGAGGGGACACAGGAGGGGAACGAGGGGGGAGACGAGCCGGGGACGAGTCCGGCGGAGGAAAAACAGGGCCGTAGACAGGAAGAGGAGGAGACGGTCGGGGAGGAATCGACGCAGGGTCGGGGGACGGAAGGCCGAGCAGGCGAAGGGCGGACACCGGCGGGGACTGCTGCTGCGGCGGCACAACGGCGACACCTGGACCGCAAGCTGCTCCTCGGCTACCACCGGCACTCTCCACACCAGCACCCCCAGAGGGACCACCCCCAGAGTCAGCGAACGGGGGCTGCGACGGCGGCGGCGGCGGCGGCGGCTGCAGCAGCGGTAGTGGCGGTGGAGGAGGGGACTGGGGAGGGGACACCTGGGGAGGGGCGGCCGGCGAGGACTGCACAGGAGGGCCACCAGAGTCAGAAGACTCCTCAACCGGGTCCACCGACGGAAGGGGGGTGACGTGGGACACACCAGAGGGGGCGGGACGGGGAGGAGGAGGAGGAGGGGCAGGGACTACCGGGGACGGGGTGACCAGGAACAGGGGGGGGGTAACCGGGGGACCACGGTGGGAAAAGCGGCGGTAGTAGGAGACGGACTCGTCAAAGGTGACGTCACGAGAGTGAAAGAAGCGGTGAGACGGCGGGTGGTAGAAGTGCCAGTCGGACGCGTCAAGGGGAAAACCAAGGAAGACGCAGGGAAGGGTGCGGGCAGTGAGCTTGTCCGTGCCGGAGGCACGGACGTGAGCAAGGCAGCCCCAGACGTGGAACGCAGACGCGTCACCAGGAGACCCAGTCCAAAGGCGGGTCGGCGAAACCTGCGGCTGCTGAGGGTGCGGCCACAAGTTAAGCTGGTGAGAAGCGTAGCGCACAACGAACGGCCACAGAAAATGGGGTGCAGCGGCATGGATCATGGAGGTGCGAGCCACCTCCATGACCAAACTGATGCGTCGCTCAGCGACCCCATTCTGCTGTGGGGAGTCCGGCAGGGTGAACGTCTGGGTGATGCCCTCCGCACGACAAAAGCGACCAAGGACACCGGAGGCAAACTCGCCACCACGGTCTGAGTGAAGACGCAAGACAGGGAGACCGCGGTGGACACGCGCAGAGACAAGCCAGGGGATGAGAGCGCCAGGCACGTCGGCCTTGCGCTCCAGGGGAAAGACTGTGGTGTAACGAGTGAAGTCGTCGACAAGCACAAGGAAGTAGCGCTCTCGACGCGGCCCAGGGACGGGGGCGGGGCCCCAGACGTCCAGGTGCAGGGTCTGCAGCGGCGCGGCGGTAGGGGGAAACGAGGAGGAGTGAGGGGCACGGCGAAGCCGACCCTCGACACAAGGCGTGCAAGGTGGGGCTGGAGAGGAGGGAAACGCGGGGAGCGAACCTGGGAGACCAAGGACGAGACCGTGCTGGGACATGTGACGCAGACACGGGAGCGCAGGGTGACCTAGGCGGTGGTGCCACAGGAGGGTCGGGTGAGTGAGGGACCGACAGGAGCAGGCAGCAGCAACCTGGGTAGACGCAGCCACCTGAGGGGGCGCTCCAGCCGGGGGGGTCACGGTGTCCAGAGTGAACAGGCCGGACACCGGGTCCCGGGGGAACGTGGACAGGGGGGCACCAGTGGCGGCCTCGGTACAGACAGCATACCGCTCGTGACCAGGGAACGTAGTGGTGACGCCAAGGTCCTGGAGGCAGCCGACACCAACTAGGTTCCTGGAGAACGAGGGGATATGCAGACCTGTAAGAGAACCGGAAGGAACCGCCGGACAGGGAAGGGTGGTGGAACCGCGGGCGACTACTGGACCGCCGGAGGGGTCAGCAAGAGAAACGGCAGCAGGAACAGGAAGCGGCGTCAGGGTGGTGGAGTCGCGGAAGAAACACCGAGAGGCGCCAGAGTCCAAGGTGAAGGAAAGCGAAGCAGAAGCGTCTGGCGACGGAACGACGGCGGAAGCACCAAGACTACACAAAGCAGGGGATCCTACGCCGGACGCAGCAAGGGAGGCTACGCTAGGCACACCTACACGAGGCAACAGTGAGTAATAAGCGGGAAGCACACTAGAGTCATCAGCATACATCACATGCAGAGCGGAAACAATGGCATCCATGTCCATATCAAAAATCTGAATCTGACGACTAAGCAAACTGTGCCAGTCCGGGAGGTCTGGCGACGGGCCGAAGCGCTGACGAAAGAGGTCGTCCAGGCGACGAAAACAGCGGGGAGTGGAGTGACCGATCTTACCGCAAACGAAGCCGCGGCGAGGACCGGTCTGGATCTGGTACTGACAACGCCCGCCGCCAGAGCCACCACGCGGCACACCACCACGCGCCGGGCCACCCTGGCGGGAGGACACTCGTCTGCCGCGTCTGCGACGGCTGCTGCGGCTGCTGCGAAGGCTGCGACTGCGGCGGCTGCTGCGGCTGCTGCAACTGTAGGGGCGGCGACTCAGCTGGACTGGGCAGGGTCCCCTCGTCGCCTCCAGCACCAGGCGACCCGACCCCACCACTACCTTCGCCCGCACCCCCGCCGCCTCCTCCGCCGCGCCCAGCCTTGGGGCGGCGGCCCTTCCCCGAACGGACCTGCGCTGCAGCAGCAGTCTCAGCCACTGCGGCAGAGCCGTCGGAGAAGGTGCACTGAGCGGGGGCACAACCCCGAAAGATAGGGACCGGCACGACACCGCTCGCCTGGGCGATGGAGCGGTGACGGGTCTCTATCACAGTCAGGGTGTCTACAAAGTCAGCGAGGGTGAGGTCTGCGGGGTGAACGCTAAGAAAGCGGTCGCGGGCGACAGCAAGGCGGTCAGGGAGGCGGGTGGCAAGCAGGTAGAGGGTAGAGGTAATGGGCGGCTGGTGGGCTCTAAGCTGGCCGTCAGTGCAGGCAGCGCGCCAGGTCTCATCTATCGAGCGCAGGTGGGCGGCGAGGTCAGAGACAGTGGGGAAAGATGCAAGGTCAGGAAAGAGCATCGGAAGGATCAGGCGACCCACCGAGGCAGCCGGAGGGGTGGAATAGCGCTTGATCACAGCATCTAAGTATGCCTGAGCAGTAGTGAGGGACCTAAAGCGAGGACGCTCGGATGGGGGAAGGGCGTTGCTAATGGCAAGCTGGGCAACAGCATCGCGAGAAAGCCAGACAGAGCGCGCACGGGCAGTGGCAGCAGTAGACTCACGCTCAGTGGGTGTGGGGTCAGCGGGCAGAATAGCAGGGGGGTCTGGGCAGGGGAGCGTACCGTCAAGGTGTGCGGAAAGCGGTTCACCATCCTGCCGCTGGCCAGTGAGTTGGCGGCGGAGGTCGGCAAGCCACGCCTCGAACTCTAGGGGCTGACCTTCAGCGTCGAAGCGAAGCTCCGCCGCCATCAGGAACAGTCCAGTGCGGTGCAGGGCAGTGCAGCTAGGTGGGGTGCGGTGCAGTGCGGTACAGTGCGGTGCAGTGCGGTGCGGTGCAGTGCGGTGCAGTGCGGTGCAGTGCGGTACAGTGCGGTGCAGTGCGGTACAGTGCGGTGCAGTGCGGTGTAGTGCGGTGCCAGGCAGTACAGTGTGGTGCGGGGCGGCACGAAGCAGGGCGGGGTGGGGGGGGGGGGAACCGTACCAGTGAGGAGGACGGGGCCGGGGCTGGCCCGACGGGGTCGGGCGGGCGCGACGGGGCCGGACAGGTGCGACAGGGCCGGGACGGGGCGACGGGGCCGAGCGGGCGCGACGGGGCCGGGCTGGGGCGACAGGGCCGGGCAAGTGCGGCAGGGCCGGGCCGGTGCGACGGGGCCGGGCGGCTGCGACGGGGCCGGGCAGGGTGCGACGGGGCCGGGCGGGTGCGACGGGGCCGGGCGGCTGCGACGGGGCCAGGCAGGGGCGACGGGGCCAGGCGGCTGCGACGGGGCCGGGCGGGCGCGACGGGGCCAGGCGGCTGCGACGAGGCCGGGCGGGTGCGACGGCGCCGGGCGGGCGCGACGGGGCCGGGCGGCTGCGACGGCGCCGGGCGGGCGCGACGGGGCCGGGCGGCTGCGACGGGGTCGAGCAGGGACACGACGGGGCCCAGGAGGGGCGCTACAGGGCCCAGGGAGGGCGCGACGGGGCCCAGGAGGGGCGCTACGGGGCCCAGGAGGGGCGCGACGGGACCCAGTAGGGGCGCTACGGAGCCCAGGGGGGGGCGCGACGGGGCCTGGGAGGGGCGCGACGGGGCCCAGGAGGGGCGCGACAGAGCCCAGGAGGGGCGCTACGGGGCCTGGGAGGAGCGCGACGGGGCCCAGGAGGGGTGCTAGGGGGCCTGGGAGGAGCGCGACGGAGCCTGGGAGGGGCGCGACGGGGCCTGGGAGGGGTGTTACAGGGCCAAGGAGGGGCGCTACGAAGCCCAGGAGGGGCGCGACGCGGCCCAGGAGGGGCGCTTCGGGGCCCAGGAGGGGCGCGACGGGGCGCTACGGGGCCTGGGAGGAGCGCGACGGGGCCCAGGAGGGGCGCTAGGGGGCCTGGGAGGGGCGCGACGGGGCCTGGGAGGGGCGCGACGGGGCCCAGGAGGGGTGCGACAGAGCCCAGGAGGGGCGCTACGGGGCCTGGGAGGAGCGCGACGGGGCCCAGGAGGGGCGCTAGGGGGCCTGGGAGGAGCGCGACGGGGCCTGGGAGGGGCGCGACGGGGCCTGGGAGGAGCGTTAGGGGGCCTGGGAGGGGCGCTACGAAGCCCAGGAGGGGCGCGACGAGGCCCAGGAGGGGCGCTACGGGGCCCAGGAGGGGCGCGACGGGGCGCTACGGGGCCTGGGAGGAGCGCGACGGGGCCTGGGAGGAGCGCGACGGGGCCCAGGAGGGGCGCTACGGGGCCTGGGAGGAGCGCGACGGGGCCCAGGAGGGGCGCTAGGGGGGGATGAGCGGAAGCGGTAGGTGGGGGGGATCCTACCTACGCTCTGATACCATATCAGAATTAGAATTGAATGTTGGTAAAGTGAGAGTACACACAAATATACCTAAGTGTTGTACCCTCTAAGAGGTAACCCTATACAGTCTATACAAACATGACAAATACACATGTTTGACAGTGTTACACTTCAGAAACGCTATTTCCAACAAACTCTCCTGGTCCAACCGAATCCAGTTCGTGGGTAATTCCCTCTTGCGGGGATATTACTTGTTCACACATCTGTGTTGGTTAGTTGACTCTACTAATGACATTGGGGGGGAGTGGCTGAACCATCCGCACCGGCCGCTGCAGTAGCAGCAGGAGCAGTGGCAGCAGGTGCAGTGGCAGCAGGTGCAGTGGCAGCAGGTGCAGTGGCAGTAGCAGCAGGTGCAGCTGCACTGGTTGGCGGAGCACAAGAAATAGCAGCATCACGTCCAGTGGTAGCAGCTCCACGTGCAGTGATAGCAGCATCAGGTGCAGCGACAGCAGAGTCAGAGCAATTAGCTGTTGTGGCACGCTTAGTTGCAGCAGTGCTGGCAGCAGTAGGAGCAGAAGCAAGTGCATGCACAGGAGCAGGAGCAGGAGTAGGAGTAGGAGCAGTGGGAGCAGTAGAAGTGGAAATCGTAGGAGCAGGAACGGCAGCAGAAGCGACACCAGGAACAGCAGGGGCAGAAGGGGCGGAAGCAGAAGCGACAGTAGGATCCGCAGCAGGGGCAGAAGCAGATGCGTCAGTAGGAGCAGCACCAGGAGCAGTTGTGGTGGTGGCAGCAGCAAGAGCCACAGGATCAATAGCACTTGCTCTTGCTGCCATAGAGGCGTCAGTGGGGGCATCGGGAGCAGCAGCAGGAGCAGCAGCAGCAGCAGGAGCAGCAGCAGGAGTAGGAGCAGGAGCAGGGGCAGAAGAAGGAGCATCAGGAGCAGCAGCAGCATCAGCAGCAGCAGCAGCAGCATCAGCAGCAGCAGCAGCAGGAGCATCAGCAGCAGCAGAAGCATCAACAGCAGCAGGAGGCACAGCAGGAGCAGTGGGAGGAGAAAGTTGGCTTGAAATGAGTGAAGCAAGGAGAGTGGTGAGCGACCGGGTTGGGAGGGACGGAGCGGCCAAGTTGGCGACTTGGGAGGTTTGGGATGGAGGAGCGAATGGGGAGGGAGCAAAGGCGTTAGGTGCAGCTGGATGCACACCAGGTAACTGAATCAGACGTGACAATAACGGGTGGGGGAAGGTAAGGCTGTGTGGGTTAGCGGGGGCGCGGGGAGCAGACTGCATGCTGGACGTGAGCAAGTGGACAAGAGATTGGAGAGCGGAGGTGGCAGGTGTTGCTGCAAGGGGGAAAGGGAAGGGGAGGGCTGGTCGCGGCGCGAGAGCAGCCCTGAGGGCCGCAGCCACTATGAGCTCGGGCGAGAGGGGCGCTGCTGCCATGGGCGCTGAGAATGGCTGCCCTGATGCTGCATTCCCTGCCCCCATCCCTGCTCCTGCTCGCGCTGCTGCTGATGCTCCTGCTGCTCCTGCCGCCCTGCTTCCTTGCTCACCCCCAGTCTTCTTCCTTTTCCTGCCCCGCCCACCACCCATGCCCCTTGCTGCCCGCTTCCCTCCCACCCTGCCCACAACCCCCTCGCTCCACTCCCACTCCGCCCCACTGCTGCCCTCACTGCTGCAACCGCCCCCTCTGCCCTCGCTTCCTCTCATGCTCTCCTCCCCCCCACTCCCCCCACTCCCCTCCTCACCTCCCTCCCACACCAGCACTTGAGCCCCCTCAAGTCTGCGCCATGCCCGCCCCACCTCTGCCGCCCGGTGCGCTGTGAGCCGCCTTGCGAAGGGGGTGGCAACGGCAAGGGCGGCCCAAGCAGATTGCAGCTCAGGGGTGGCTTGGGCGGCAGATGCCACCCGCACGCCGGCCAGCGAAGCCAGCAGAGTGCTGACTTGGGGCGGGGGATGCGTGCTGACAGGGGCAGTGGCAGCAGCCTGACCAGGGGCGTGGGCAGAATTACGTGGAAGGGTGTAGGCAGATACCACACCAGCGCCAGTGGGGGCTTGTGCAGCCACACCATCTGCAGCACCGTTTGCTGCACCGTTTGCAGCACCGCTTGCAGCAGGGGCAGATACTGCAGTGTCATGAGCAGCAGGTAGAGGGCCCGCATTGTCATCAAGAGTGTCGAGGTCAATGTCGATCACCATATCCATGTCGCCATCACTACCCGCAGCACCACCATCACCACCATCACTCTCCATCCCATTCCAAGTACCCCCATCACCACCCCCATCACCCCGCCCACTGCCAGCTTCTCTTCGTCGCCCGCCACCGGCTTCCTCCCCCCTTCCCTCCCCCCTCTCCTCCCCCCACTCCTCCCACCCCTCCACATCCCCCAGGCGGCGGCCGCTGGCCTTGATCTGCGCTCGCATCTCCCGCTGCTCCGTGGCGATGGCCACCAGCGCCGCCACCTCCTCCTCCCGCACCTCGTACCGCTCGTTCAGTATCCCCCGCATCCTCCTGCTCACCCCCCTCTCCCCCGCACTCTCCCCCCCTCTTCCCCTTCCCCCTCTGCAACCCCCGCCTCTACCCCACTAACCCCCCCATTCACCCCCTCCCTACTCCCCCCCTGCCCATCCGCCCCGTGGAAGCCCCAGCGCTGCAGGAAGCGGCGCACCCACTGGATGCTGCACGTGAACCCCGGCGCCACGCCTACCAGCGGCATCAGGCGCCGCGCGTACTCCTGCACCGCCCACGCCGACACCTGCCGCTCCGCCGACCCACTCCCCCCACCCCCCTCCGCCCCCCCGCCCCCCTCCATCCTCGCCATGGCCTTCCTCACCGCGAGGGCAAGAGCCTCCTCCAGGCGCCACTCGCTTGTGCCTCCATCCCGGCTGCCCCGCGCCCTGCCTGTGTGCGCGCGCTGCGCCAGCTGGCGCCAGTCGTCCTCCCGCAGCAGCACCGCAGGCAGAGACACCTTCGCCAGCCGCATGCCGTATCTGCCAGGGGGGAGAGAGGAGGGGGGGGGGGGGGGAGATAGCGTGAAAGAGTGAGGGAGAAGTGGGAAAATTCGTGTTTCGCGCAAATTCGCCCGAACGCCAGGGCCCTGTTTTGAATTCGTTGGGAAATTCGTTCCGCCCGGGCAGGCCCAAAAAAAAGTTCCCAGGTAGGGGGGGCGTGGGGGGTTTCAGGGCAACTCTTTTCAACTAATAAAGTTTTAGCACAAATTAAATATTGCTTCTCAAAGTTCATGGCAATAGCAGGTTATAGAGTTTGGGGGGGAGGGGATCCTATGCAACAACAGCCCTGCAGCAACCTACTGCAACATCATGAACCATACTCACACATCCCCCATCCAACCCCCCCAACCATGCTCCCCTCTACATGTACTCATCTAGCAGCTCCGCGTCATCGCCCTCCTCCTCCTCCCTCAATGCCTCCTCGTTCAACTCCTTGTACCCCGTGGGGAGAGGCGGGTCGGGGATGTTCCCAACCACCACCCCCATCCCCTCCTCTTCCGCATGCCACTTGCACTAAACGCGTATAAACGCTAGCATATACACGCTATACGCTTTTTTGGGGCCACGTATACGCTAGGTATACGCTTGTCCGGGCAGGCGAAAACTTCTCTCCGAGCAGTGCGGTTGGGGGGGCAGATTGGTTGGAAGTTTTTTAGGCAGCACCATGTCGACATGGATAAAACCAATCCGCCCCCCCAACCGCCTCGGGATGTAGTGCGGTTGGGGGGGCAGATTGGTTGGAAGTTGGATTTGGGCAAAAAATTGGGATCTCGACATTTCGCGATAGTGTGGCTGGCTTCGCTACGTCGCGATGTGGCGATCGATTTTTTATTTCCCGACGGGCTGCCCCCGAAATTTCTGCCGAGCGTATAGCGTTTATACGCTCGTATAGCGTATAGCGTATATACGCTATACGCTGCGGATTCTGAGCGTTTAGTGCAACTTAGGCGCACAACGTTCCAGTTGTGCGCAACATACACCAAATCCGACAGCTTCTGAGACCCCAACCTGTTGCGCCGGGCAGTGTGGATAGCATCCCACACCGCCCAGTTGCGCTCGTAGGAGGCAGCCTGCACAGGCTCGCACAGGTTGCACTCGCACAGGCTGTGTCAGCACACAGCGCGCAAGTGCTGTGAGCAAGGGGTGGTCGGTGCAATGCCACCGCCACCACGCCTTCATGGTGTGCGTGCCTTCATGGTGTGCGTGCCTTCATGGTGTGCGTGCCTTCATGGTGTGCGTGCCTTCGTGGTGTGCGTGCCCTCATGGTGTGCGTGCCTTCATGGTGTGCGTGCCTTCATGGTGTGCGTGCCTTCATGGTGTGCGTGCCCTCATGGTGTGCGTGCCTTCATGGTGTGCGTGCCTTCATGGTGTGCGTGCCCTCATGGTGTGCGTGCCTTCATGGTGTGCGTGCCTTCATGGTGTGCGTGCCTTCATGGTGTGCGTGCCTTCATGGTGTGCGTGCCCTCATGGTGTGCGTGCCCTCATGGTGTGCGTGTCTTCATGGTGTGCGTGCCCTCATGGTGTGCGTGCCTTCATGGTGTGCGTGCCTTCATGGTGTGCGTGCCTTCATGGTGTGCGTGCCTTCATGGTGTGCGTGCCCTCATGGTGTGCGTGCCTTCATGGTGTGCGTGCCTTCATGGTGTGCGTGCCCTCATGGTGTGCGTGCCTTCATGGTGTGCGTGCCTTCATGGTGTGCGTGCCTTCATGGTGTGCGTGCCTTCATGGTGTGCGTGCCCTCATGGTGTGCGTGCCTTCATGGTGTGCATGCCTTCATGGTGTGCGTGCCTTCATGGTGTGCGTGCCTCATGGTGTGCGTGCCTTCATGGTGTGCGTGCCTTCATGGTGTGCGTGCCTTCATGGTGTGCGTGCCTCATGGTGTGCCTTCATGGTGTGCGTGCCTTCATGGTGTGCGTGCCCTCATGGTGTGCGTGCCCTCATGGTGTGCGTGCCCTCATGGTGTGCGTGCCCTCATGGTGTGCGTGCCTTCATGGTGTGCGTGCCTTCATGGTGTGCGTGCCTTCATGGTGTGCGTGCCTTCATGGTGTGCGTGCCTTCATGGTGTGCGTGCCTTCATGGTGTGCGTGCCTTCATGGTGTGCGTGCCTTCATGGTGTGCGTGCCTTCATGGTGTGCGTGCCTTCATGGTGTGCGTGCCTTCATGGTGTGCGTGCCTTCATGGTGTGCATGCCTTCATGGTGTGCGTGCCTTCATGGTGTGCGTGCCTTCATGGTGTGCGTGCCTTCATGGTGTGCGTGCCCTCCTTGACCAACTGCCGGTCAGTAATGGCCTCCTTCTTGCCAAAGCTCTCCCTCAGCTCCTCCTCAGCTCCCCCTCATCTCTCCTTGTATGACAAGGGTTGCACACTTCGACGGTCCCCTCTTCTGGGGGACCATGACCCCCTCGTAGTGGCGCTGCACGAACTCCTTGAACATGCAGCAGGCAGGCCAGGCTCCCATCCCAACGCGACGTCACTATCTCATTAATAGCACTCTTAGCCGTCGCCGTCAGCACCTCATGGGTCTCCTTCTTCAGCAACGCCTCCATTCGCTCTGTAAGCAGCAGCATCTTGTCATACAGGTTTCCTATCATCCCCTTCCTCTCTGTGGCAGTCGCCCGCATGACATTGAATGGGAGCTCCAGCACCCTAGTGAAGAGCTCCGCCTTGGGCCACCACTCATTCTTCTCATCCAAGATCTGCTTCTTGAACGCATCCGCCGCTGCCTTCCTCGGCCCCACCGCCCAATTCTTCTCCCACAGCTCGCTCACCACCATTCCCTCCAGGATCTCGTGCCCGGCAACAAGGCGGGACACACCAATGTACTGTGTCCCGAAGCGAGTCCCTGCAGGCCTCAGCACCTGAAGCCCCTTTCCCTTTACGACGTCGGGATTTTCAACATACTGGCAGGTCCAATGGTGACTGCGCATGTACGTGATAATCTCGCTCGCCTCCTTCACCACGCCGGCGGCCCAGGGGAGCTTCCCCACGTCCTCCATCAGCAGATCGAGCACGTGCGTGACGCAAGGCATGTGCTCGATCTTGTGGAACTCCTCAATCAGCAGTTTGCAGGCGCTGTAATAGTTGCTGCCGTCGTCGGTGCAGAAGGCAACGACGTTTGCGGCGCCCAGCTTCTCCACGATCGGCCGTAGGAAGACGGCGATGTAGCCGCCGGTTTTTTTCTCCATCTTGCAGTCAACGCTCTCGGCGAAGACGGCGCCGCTGTCGTTGACGAGCATGGTCAATCATCATGTCGCTCGCAATGGTGACGCCAGTGGCGCTCCAGCTTTCAGAAATACCGATCAGAGCGTCCTCAATCCGGCGGCGGCATTGCTGAAGCCCTGCGCCGCCGATGTACTTGCGCGACGGGGGCACATAACCATTACCCGCACGCGCAATGCTCCGCACGGCATAGCGCCAAAGCGGATGATCGGCATGGCGCTCGGGAAGGCGGAGGCCGGCGAACAAGAGGCAGATGGCTTCATCCGCTCCCTTCTTCGCCAGCACGCTCCCGCTCATGTAATCGCCAATGCGCCCGCACTTGCTGCTGGCGCCGCTGACCACCTCAAGGGCATCCTTATCAGCACAATCATGAGCCGCACGGGAGTCCACCTTGGCCTCCTGGAAAGCGCGCACGGCTGTGCGCGTATCCTTAGGGGCTTCGGCGCATTTACGCACTCCACGCTTGCCCATGCCCTCCCAATCCGTAAGGTGCTGAGCGCAACGAGATGCAGTGCCCATGAAGTCCGCTCCGCAGTGCTTGCACCAGTACCGCTGCACCCTACCCATTTCCTTGCTCTTAAACTTAAAATGCTGAAAGACTACATGCTTATCATCATCAATGAAAGGGGTGGACGAGGACGCCTCACCTGATGCATCGACTGTCACGCCCCCACTAGGGCCCTGATCTGGGAGGTCCGACATTGCTGCTCGGATTCTCATGAGGTAAGCTAACGTCTATGCTTAAAGCCCGACCGGCAGGTTGCATATCGACACTGTTGAGGTAGGTGGGCCGGCAGCAGATGATTGGCTGACGAGCTGTGGGTGGGGCGAAGGTTTGTTTTCGCTAAGGCACCTGCTTGCCAATGAGTGCCGTGAGGGTTGGAAACTTGGCAGGGGTGCCAAATTTCGTGCCTCTCATTTGGCGGGGTTTTAACTCGGCAGCAGCGCCAAGTTGAGCTCCTGCCAAGAAAGTTTTTCTCCGATGCTTGGCAACCCCGCTTTGTACCCCCGACAAGAGTACTACAGTGAACTCCGTACGGTGGTTCTACATTCACCAAAATCGCACAACAGTGACAGTGTATTCGCACGTTCAGACCCCAAAATTATCAAACTCGCGGGGAAATCACTATCCAGTCATAACTCTGCTCCCTGCCCTCGGAACTTGGCAGGGATGTCATACTGCCAAGTTTGTCGAGTGTTCAGCTTGAGTCAGTTTGGCCAACAGAGACAGTTCGACGATTGCTTCCTGGTAACAGGTGCTCAAGATGGTGCATCTTGAGCTAAACTGACTTGCAACGTGGGTCGGGCTTTAAACTACTTCTACTAGCTAGGACACGGAGTGATTAGCTAGATCTACTCTACGCCTCTTAGAGTAGCATGTGAGATGCGTGATATGGTTGCGTAAGTTGGGTGGTGGATGGGTTGGGTTATCTAGATGCGGTGGGGTTTGATGCAGTTGGGAGCGTGGGAGGGGTTGGGAGTTTGTTTGGAGGTTCAAAAGTTAGAGTCGCGAATTGGCAAGGCCTCAGATGGCTTCGCCAAGTAGTTGCGAGTCGAGTGGGAAAATTCACGTTTTTTTGTCCGGGCTGCCCCAGAATTTTTACCCCAGCGTTTTGCGAATTTCAGGTAAATTCGCAAACGCGAATTTACGCTTACGAATTTACGCAAAACGCTTGGGAACCCCAACGAATTTGCCCACTTAGAGGGAGAGTAAGAAGGGGCGAGGACGAGCCCCTCTGGAGCGCCGGATTTCTGCGCTGCCCTGGTGGCGGGCGCCATGCGCACGGCTGCCTCTTGCTCCCGCCATGCAGCTCCCGGCGACCCTCGTTCCTGCTGCGTTCCACACCCTCGCACGTGACCCCGCTGGCGGCCTGGCGACCTGGCGACCTTGTGATGCGTGGTGGGAGCGGCTGGAGCAACAAGCTGCCGCACACGGCCCTCGCCACCGCGATGCAGCAGACCCAACCCAGTGACCACTCTCGGGCAGACCCCACCCAGTGAGCTCTCTCGGGCAGGCTGAAGCTAACCCGGCACATACGACCCGCCTGCCTGGTGGCTGAAGCTAACCCGGCACGTACGACCCACCTGCCTGGTGGCTGAAGCTAACCCCAGCACATACGACCCGCCTGCCTGGTGGCTGAAGCTAACCCCAGCACATACGACCCGCGTGGGCTTGCAGCACTTACCCGTGTGTGAGTCTCACAACCGCCACAGGCGGAGAGGCAGCGTGGCAACGCACCTGGCGCCGATGGCGCGGGTGATGGCCTTGGAGGGCAGCGCGGGGAGCGCCCTGGCCAGGGCGCACATGGCCAACTTCACTTGCGGCGGCACCACCGTGTGGCGCCACTTGCGCTGGGCGGCGCCGTCTGTGTCTTGCCCTTGCGCCCGTGCCTCCGCCGTCCATTGCTCTGCCAGGTGGTACAGCCGCTCCAGCGGACCCTGCTGCGCCTCCACACCTGCTGCCACTGTGCCTCCTGCACCCCCTGCACCACCTGCACCCCCTGCACCACCTGCACCACCTGCACCCGCTGCAGCAGTAGTGGTGGCAGCAGCAGGTGCGCTGGTCCGCCCCCCGTCGCCCCCTTGCGCCCCCGTCTCGTCCTCTGTGGCGCCGCCGTCGCTGCTCTCGTCGTCTGCTGTTTGGCCCTCTGTGCCGTTACCATCCGTGCTGTTACCATCAGTCGTGTTACCACAACTCGAATAGCCATCCGCTGACATGCCTCCTCCTTCTCCTCCTCCTCCTCCTCCTCCTCCCCCTTCCCTCCCTGCACCCTTCCGACCCTTCTCCCCCTTCTCCCCCTTCTCCCCCTTCTCCCCCTTCTCCCCCGCCCCTCCCCCCTCCTTCACTTCCCCCCCTATCCACAGCCCGTGCCGCTGCATCACCTTGCGCATCCACGTGAGGCTGTACCGGAACCCACTGGGCGCGCCCACGGACGGCCCCACCTCGCGGGCGTACTCAATGGCGTCGTCCCAGCGCAGCATGTGCCGCCCGTACCGCGCCTCCATGCTGCGCACCCACGCCACCACCGCCGCCTCCAGCTGCGGGTGCGCGCCGCCGCGCTTGCGCTTGAGCCCCGTCTGCCCCACGGACAGGTCCAGGTATGCGTGGCGCCGCCGCACGATGCGCCGCACCGCCGCCACGTCCAGCGCCGTCACGCCCGTTTCTGCAGCAGCAGCAGCAGCTTCAGCAGCAGCAGCAGGCGGGGTTCCGGCAGCGAGGCCAAAGGCGGCCATGACGGTGCGGTGGAGGTCCTTGGCCGCCAGGGCAGGGCGTGCGGCGTGCAGGCGGCAGATGGCGTGCTTCAGACGCAGGCTGATGGACGCGCGCTGCCGCCACGTCCTGCCCTGCTGCCCTCCTCCCCGCCCCCACTGCTGCCCGCCTGCCACCGTTCCACTCAACAACTGCTCTCCTGCCTCCGCCCTCCCTGCCCCCCCCTGTGCGCCCCCCTGTGCGCCCCCCTGTGCCTGGTGCAACACGGGCGTGTGGGGGTGGAGCAGCGGCAAGTCGCCCGCTGCTGCCACGGCCGCCTCAACATCGCTCAGCACCGCACCTGCTGCCACCCCGCCCTCTCCTCTCGCTGCTGCCACTCCACCACCCTCTCCGCCTGCTGCCGCTGCCCCTGCTGCTGCTGCTGCAGCACGTGCCCCTGCTGCGCCTGCACATGCCTGCTCCCCTCCCGCCCTCTCCTCGCCCCCCTGAGCTTCAGCCAGTGCAAGCGCCAGCAGCTCAGCGCTGGGCCGCACCACAGCGGCAGCAGCAGCTGCTGCTGCCCTCCTCCTCGCCTTCTCCCGCCTGCGCCTCGCTGCCTCGTGCATCCACTCTCCCACTTCACCCACGCGCCCCCGCCCTGCCACTGCTGCCAGAGAGCCTCGCCCACCACTTTCTGCGCCCTGCCCCACTCCTGCCGCCCGTCCTGCCCGCCCCCCTCTCTGCTGCCCCCTGGCCTGCCCCTGCGCGCCCGCCTGCCCCTCGCCCCCCTCCAGGTCGATCACCACCCTGCCGCCCGTCAGCGACGTCCCCCTGCCCACCACCCTGAACCCGCCCCTCAAACCCTCGCCACGTGTGTCCAGTCCGCTCCCCTCCTCGTCGCCCTGCTCACTGTCCCCGTCCTCGCCCTCCTCCTCCCCCTCCTCGTCCCCATCACCCCTCTCCCTGGCCACCAGGATCTGCGGGCCAAAGATCTCGTCCGCCAGCTCAATGAGTGATGGGCCAGTGCCGCCCGCGCCCCCAGCGGCAGCAGCGGCGTCCGCGTCCTCGTTGAAGTAGGCCTCCCTCGCCTCCTCCAGGTGCCGCTTCGACAGCCCCCACCGGTCCTGGAAGCGGCACGCCCACCCCACGCTGTACCTGCGGGGGGAGGGGGGATGCAGCGCGGGTGAGTGGGCTGGGCAGGCAGAGGGGTTGGGAATGGCAGCGGCGAGAGGCAAGGAGCAGAGGGCGCAAGAGGGGCAGCGAGAGAGGGGCTGGAAGGAAGCACGGGGTGCCATGGAGGAGTGCCTCCTGGCGCTCTCTCAGCACTACCTGAAGGAGGGCGACACCCCGAAGGACGGCCCCAGCTCCCTGCCCTTGTCGCAGATGGCCTGCAGCGACACCTTGGCGCCACCTGGCACGCTGCGCTGCTGCTGGAACCACGCCAGCAGCGCCTCCTCCAGCGCCATGCTCTCGGGCGCACGCACGCGCTTGCTGCACCGCTGCGCTAGCGAGGAGTACCAGCGCGCCTCCTTGTCAAAGATGTGCCGCACATGCGACCGGTCCAAGCGCACGTCCGGGTACTTGGCACGGCACGCGCGGATGATCCCCCCCACGGAGATGCCCGGGCGCGCGCGCCGCAGGTCGCAGATCTCACGCTTGATGCTGACGTCCAGCTGGTTCCGCCGCCCCGTGCTCTTGCTCGCCCGCCGGCCCGCCTCCCTGCTGCCACCTGCAGCTGTGCCTGCCCCCTCTGCTGCTCCCCTGGCTGCTGCTGCCGCCGCTGCCACATGCGCCCCATCCGCGGTGCCAAGAGGGCCCGCTGCAGCTGGCTCTGATGCCTGCGGCGCCATCAGATCAACTCCTGCTGCTCCTGCACCTGCTGCTCCTGCTGCTGCTGCTGCTCCTGCTCTCTCAACATCAGCGTTGGACGCGACACCCGCACCAGCAGCAGCAGCAGCAGCACCAGCAGCAGCGGCATTGACTTCCCTGAGAGCCTGGCGGGCAGCAGCGAGGCCGGCAGCATAGCCCGCCGCATAGTCCTCCTCCGTGCACCCACCCTCCCCTCCGCCGTCATACCACTCCCCCCATTCTCCATCCCCCCCTTCGTCCGCATCCACACCCTCGCACCCCAGGTCGTCCCCACGCACATTTACCCCAGCATCACCCTGCCACCCTACCCCAAAACCCTCCTCCCCCCCACCCTCCATCCCCCCAACCCCCGCACCTGCTGCGCCAATACCATGCCCCTCATTGACCATCCCCTCCCCCTCCCGCTCCCGCTCCTGGCGGTGGTGATGCTGCTGTTGCCCCTGCTGCCGTTGTTGCTGATGCTGCTGCTGCTGCTGGAGGGGCAACTGCTGCTCACGGTGCACTCGCGCCCCTGCCATCCACTGCTGCCGTGCATGCCCCTCCCCGCCCACCGCCTCCCAGCCCTCGCCGTGCTCGTCGCCCCCTGCCCACTCCATCGCCACATTCATATCCCTCTCGCCTCCACCACTCGTGGCCCTCCCCACACCGCTGTACTCGTCTCTTTCCACACGCCTCTGCTGCCCTCTCACCGCTCCCAATGCCTCTCCACCACGCACTCGCCCACCCCGGCTACCCATTCCTCCACCCACGTGCCACTCCCTGCCGGCTGCCGCACCATCCAGCCGCACATCCCCACGCACATCCACGCCCCTCCCCCTCACTCCCTGCCCGCGTGCCCCACCTCTGCCGCTGCCTCCCCGCCCCACCACCCCCCGCCCTCCACCGCCTTCGGCTCGCTCCATTCCGCCCACCCTCCTCCCGCTACCCCCGCCCTCACTTGTCCCCCCGCTCCCTCCGCCTGCTCCGCCATCCGCACCCCTACCCCTGCCCCTGCCTCCCCTGCGACTGGTCCCTCGCCCCTCTCCGCCCCTCCCTCTCCCCGCCACCACCGCACCCGCTGGTTTCGCTCCTCCGCGCATATTTCCCACTCCCCCGCCCAACCCTCCCACTCCCCCGCCCATCCCTCCGCCCCTCCCCGCTGCCACTGTCGCTCCGGGCACACCTGCGCCTCGCGCTGCGCCCCCTCCCACGCTCCGCCCTGTCATCCCCGCCACGAGTCCGCCTGTCGCCCCCTCATCCCTATAGTCACCCCCCGCAATACCAATACTTCCCCGTCGCGCGCCTCCATTCTCTTCCGCCACACCCCCTACCGCCTCTCCCCTTCCGCTCCCTCTTCTCCCCCCCCTCATCGCCCCCCGTCCCCTTCCCCTGCCCCCTCCGCCGTGCTCCATCCGCTAGCCGCGGTGGCGTGGGGCGCGAGATGGCAGCGCGCGCCTCCTTGCCAGATGCGTGGAAAGCGGAGTCTTGGCGGTCAGCCGGCTCTCGAGCTGGTCATTTGGGGAAGCAGTCTGATCGGGAGGCGGAGTACGGCGGGCGGACGGACAAGCGGACGCATTGCCTTGGCTCGAGGTGGGTGCTCTGCAGGGCGCTCGCCGCGTTCGACCTTGCGCTTGCCGCACGGTCCGCAGCGAGGTTGGGTGTCACGGACCGGGGGGGTTTCCAATTGAGAGCGAAGAAAATGCGTGGTGCCTGGAAGTGACCTGCCGTAAGCGAGCGCTGCGAATTATCACAAGCGAGGAGAAGGAAGCTATCTCTACGGCTGGGCATTGGCTGTGGTTTGAACTTCGAAAGGTCCAGAAAGCGCGCGCGTGCTCCCATGCATCGTAATTGTAAAGGAGCTCGCGTTACAATGACGAGTTATGTCATTACGCGCTACGCAAGCTAGTAAACCTCAACAACTGGCTAGAAGACAATTTAGGCCGGATCACATTAGGCTCGATCCGTGCCCAATATCAATTTTGAGTTCAATTTCTAGTGGAAACTGGAGACATTGACACTGACAATGCGAATCTCACCCAGAGACAAATTGAGCCGAAGTTGAGCATACACTCCCCCACCCATGTGTCACGAAACTCACCTGCGAAGTCAACCGAATGGGAAAATGGGTCATCCATGTTTTCAGCGAAAGCTAAACAGTGCCAGGACGAAAAATCAACACGCGCCACCTATCCAAGGCAGAAGTCAACCACCCAACGCAATTATGGAGACGCAACGTGACGACTTCGCAACTGGTTTAGTGGCTACGGTTTCCCGGTCAGAGGTTTTGCCGAAATCAACGAATTAGGAATCTAGTGCCTTGACCAAATTGACGAACTCTTTTGGTTTCGCGCAGGAGTGTAACGCGCAGGTGCTGTCAAGTTTTTGTGGGAGCTCGAGCCCGTCATCCGGCTCAATTTTGCCGGACGAGCCCACACAATGAGCCTCTGGCAAATTGATGAAGAATGTTACACGGCCTTAGCTCCAACTTGCAAGATGCACAGTGCAATGAGATCAATACCCGATAAAGCCCGAGTCTAGAATTGCGTAGGGGGATTTCAAGAGGGGAAAGTATATCGGCGCTCAGTATTACGGGACTAGATAACATATACGATCACTAACACGATATAAACAATCAAAATTAGCGAGTTCGCACCATGTTTAATCAGTCGGATTCCGCCGTTAGTCAGGAACTGCAGGAAAAAAATCCACAAATGGTCAGTAGAACTAACCCCTATCAAAGTAGCGAAGTAACTAGAATGTGTGATACACGGTGGTTTTGTGCTAAGGGGTTGTACTCCCTAAGAGTACGCACCTATCTAGCCTATAATAACATAAAAATATATGTTTGACACACCCCCTAGGTAAGATGAGGGGCAGTTCCGGGCAAGAGACATGCAGCTCAGGGTGGCACTACTAGTCCAACCTCTGAGAAAGGGTCCGAAGACCAGTCACCAAGAGTACGACCTTAACAAGAGCAACCCAGGGCGACATTACTACTCCAGCCACTGGAACATGAGCCACAAGGATAGTCAATACAATATAAGGACTAGTACACAATCAAGGTCCTAGAAAGTGAAAAGATACAAGAACTAGACCAAGCTGTACACATTGCCGCTGATGATATTTAGGCGCAAGCGCCTTCATTAAGATATCAGCTGTCTTGGCACCAGAGGCCAAGTGTATTACGCGGGCCTAGCGGCGCTGCTGTAGGTCGCGCAGGAGGAAGTACCAATGTTGGATGTGCTTCGCTCTGCCCTCCAGTCGAGGCTCCCGACACGGGAGGATCATGGCCCTATTGTAACCGTACAGGACCGGGGCAGAGCTAGGCCGCTCACCTAAGGCTGTAAGCAAGAAAGTCAGCCAGCGGAGCTCCTGTGCTGCCATGGCACCAGCTTAGATCTCAGCCTCATAGCTAGATGGGGAAACAGACGACGAGCGCCTCGGCCTCCACGATGGCACTTGCACCAAGGCTAGAGCAGTAGCCCTAGGAGGACCTGAGCATCTCAGCGTCGTCTGCCCACATAGCGTCAGTGTGCCCTGTAAGGACCAATGGCCTGCGTCCTCCTAGCACTAGCCCCATGCCCGATGTACTTGCTAGATAATGCAAACCCCGCTTAGCAGCCGACCAGTGCCGCGGTCAGTGTCTGCCTGTCGCCACAAAGCGAGCTAGGATGCTGAGAGTGTATGCACATTCTGGACGAGTGCAAGTCATCAGGTACATGACGCAACCCACGAGCTCTCGTACGGACCATTAGACTGTACTGACTCTTCAGAGACTGGAGCTGAGAGCCTGTGATACCCTGGGAGAGGTGTGGGCTGTGCAAAGGAGAACTGAAGACCAAACCTCTAAGGGACATGGCGCACCAAGTGTGACTGTGTGAGAGTGATAGTGAGCGGCGTAGCGAACAACGAACGGCCACAAAAAATGGGGTGCACCGGCATGGATCATGGATGTGAGAGTACGACCCCGTTACACTATTTCCCCCTTTCCATATTTCCTTTCTATTTCATTCCTCTTTTTATCCTCATTCATTTGGTCTTTATCTCATCTCATTTGGTTTCCTATTCCTCATTTTCCATTATCCTTTGGTTTATCCTCTTATTATAATTATATCACCGACCAGGCTCGGGATGTACTGGCGCGCTATATCTAGCGTAATCCTGCCGTAATCTCTTAAAGCCAATAGCCTCGCGTGGCTATACGCAAGGTGATTCTATTTCTAGAAGGGTCTATTTCCTTTGGATAGGATAAGCCTGGTTACCTGATGTACTCTGGAAGTATAAAAGCACCTTGTACTGATTGATAGGGCAACATTGAGGAAACCTTTCCTCGGGACATTCGATCCTGTGACACTTGGTAATCAGAGCCAAGGTTTCGGCTCAACGCTTAACCGCTGGGCCCCCAGGAGCACGCGGAGGATGGAGTTGAAACTTCAATTACTGTAAGTACAATGCACTTTCATTTAAGTTTCGACGTTCCTCTCGCAGTTGCACCTGGGGTCCCCATCAAAGGCGAGATGCCTTGCCAACCGTTCGATGGACTGCATCGACGGAGCCGATTTTTCGCGGGGGCAAACGGCCTCGACCTGGCGAGCGCGTCAGTTCCGGCGGAACACTTCCTGCGACATTCGGAGAAGTTCGCAGCTCGCGACGACACTTGGAGTTGCGGGGAACTCTGCGGAGGTTCGACCGACGACATCCGTCCGATGGAGATTCGACGCTTCAGATCGACCGAGGCGAAAACGAAATCCTGCTGAGAGAGTTCGAGTTTCAGGGCGAATGGGAACGGGACCTCGCAAGCCGCGAAATTCTTCGGAGCGTTGGATCGATCGACAGCCGACATCGACGACCGAGAAATGCTGCAGGAAACGAGTCAATCCATGCACCGAAAGCTGCTGAACGCGACTCAGGAGGCTCTCAGATCGCTTGGAGTTTGGACCGTCGGATCGACTTCTACTTCAACGGACGAGATGGAGCGCGACTTCTGCACAAAGGGAGATTGACGCGCAGAACACAAAATCAGCCGCTTTCGACACCGCTAACATCATCTGCACAACCAGATTCGAATTTCTTCATTTGGTGACGAATATGGTGCGCAAATATCTGCAGAGTTAGAAATCTGCCAGAGTATTACCTACTTGGTAATATCTGCATGCAGAAAAATGACAGGAGAACGTGGATCGTCGGATCGGCGCGGAATCAACGGCACGAATGCAGCAGAGACTACACTTATGGGAAATCATCATCATGGAGACAACATTCGTGACCAGCGACTGCACAATCGACGCATATTCTAACTAGTGTCGACAACGATCGATTTATTTTGACGAAGTCATCTTCGTTAAAAATGGATCGATATCAATACGACGGGATCTTCACCCAGGAAAACTAATGGAGCTGCGTGAAGACATGTTCTCCATCCACGAGGCACATCTCATAAAATTTGATCGACAATCTATGGGATTGCAGAGAAGTAGCCGTTTTCTCTTGCAATGCTCCCAAGTTCAAGTTGCTGCGAAGGACCAGATTTCGCACGCAACGACGACGCAGTGAACCCGTCTCGTCAAGGCCAGCGAGACACTACTTCGTAACAGGAGCTGATCGATTCGTCTTCATCAAGAATCTCAGCCATCCGAAGTGATTGATTGGAGCAGTCTCAACATCGACCTCACGAGGCGACACACCAATCATGCGTCGCGATTCCAGGTGTTAATGACCTGCGTGGAAGAGAATTCCGTGCATGTCACGATGCTTGACAGATTGAGGAGTAATTAACCTCTAATCCGGCAAGTACTCGTTCACTAGCGACCCTACGGCACATGCATTGGAGGCGATTCTACCAGAAGCCGAAGCGTTACAAGCACCAACGTAACTTCGACGATGCAGGAGAACGTCAAGCAACACGAGGTGTCAACAAATGAGGGAGATGCGGACTACTACAACACGATCACGCGCTCTACCGACCGTACATCGGAGGCACGGATGAGCATACCAGGAATTGCTACCCGTGGATACTTTGAGGGGAGAAGCAAATTTCTCTTCACACCCTCAAATGAAACAATCACCGGCAGCAATGGAGCAACACATGTGTACCAATGTGCACGTGTTCCTGGTAGTTACGCCTGTTACACCCATCAGGAACACTCTACTGGGAAGAGGGAGTTGATGGATTCTCCTTCAACTGGTATGCGTTGAGAGAATTCTCTGCAGCAGCTGCCGCCGTCGCCGTCGTCGCAACCGCCGCCGCCGCCGCAGCAGAAGACTCGACACAACACTCACAACCAAATCCTGATGGATGATTCTCCACTCAATGGAGATAATGCTGGATTATATTCCAGTGGATCGTAAAGTCCCGGCCAGGCACAGTACTATGATTTCCAGCTAGTGGGAAGGAGATACCACTATGCGAGGAAACAACATGGCAATGCCATACACCCTCAAGAGCGGAAGATATTTGCTCTTATGAGGATGGGAGGACCACGGTACTCTACCGGTATACAAGTCCTCATGGCCTATGGCTTTCCTTAAAGTCATAAAACTTGCGTCGCAACCAATCCATCACCAGCACCAACTCCACGGAAGCAGATAGGCGTGGAATGGAGCGCCGACGCCACTCCGGATAGTGGACTCCGCGTATCTCCAACAACACCCCTGTTTGCCGAAATGGAGCAGACTTCAACACTGATGCTGAGTAGCTGAGACATCTTCGACATCACCGCTACTTCAAGGACAGTAACAGCATAAGACAACACATGATGGCACCAGAAGACCTATCCCAATATGTGCACCCAGACACCGATGCCTACCGATGGCCTCCGTGCTAAACTGGAAGTGCATAAGGTCATACTGGATTGGCTGTCAGCAATGCCAATTTGGAAACGGGAGAAGATTATTTGGGAATAACC